ATGATGATGATGATGATGATGATGATGATGATGGTAATAATGATAATGATGATCATGTTGATCATAATGATGCTTATATATGCATGTATATACAAAAAATAATATACAAGCTGGCATCAATAAATAAAGCTGACAAAAAAATAATTGAACAAATTTAAAGAAGAGCCACTAAAGTATGCTACTTGTTAAAGAGTTTTAAATATGAAGAACAATTAGTTAATCTCTACATCCAACCAGTTAAAAACAAAAGTACAAGCCATAATGCAATTCAAAACTTCAAGGAAAACACAGATATTACAACTCATCTATTAGTAAGATGAGTTAGACTATATATTAGTCTAACTCCTGTCTAGTGACTGACCTGGGCTTGCTTGTGCAGTTAGAAGGATTAAAAAACAAATGATTAAACAGTCAATACAAAACTGTCTTTTTTTTCCGAAACAAAGTTAAGAATTTGAATAAACTTCTATATGTCGTCAAAAACTACAAACAACAAAATGATATAAAAAAATAGCAATTTGTTATGTCTCTTATTTTTTTTTTTTCAATAAAAAATAAAATTAAGTAACTTTATAAAAGCTAATTAAAATATGAAATGCATCTTATGGAAGGAAAAAAAACAAGAAAAAAACAGCATAATTTGTAATTAATGCATACACTTTGAAATATTGCAACTTTATTATTTTATTGTATATTTTGTTAAGTATAAAAGAATTTAAATAAAAATAAAGAATTATTAAGACATACGACTTTTTTTTTTCTTCATCCAGTTTGGTACTGCATGCTCTGGAAGTGGATCACTCTCAGTTAATAAAATACTTCTTAAAGTTGATTCCTGATCACCTGGTATATCAGTTTGCCATATATCAGGTGGAATGGTCACATGTGTGTTTTTTTGACAAAATAGCAATTTGTTGTCACTTTTCTAACAAAAAAATTTTAAGATATATTATTTAATTTTTTAAAATATTTCTTATACAATTATAAAAAAATAAATTTTTTTTATAATCGTATAAGAATAATAAAGAATAATAAAATAAAGACAAAAAACTATTAAAACCCAAATTATGATATCCAAATAACAATAACAATAGTAAATAATTGTTATACAGGATATGATAATAAAATTACTACATTTAAAGCAAAAAGAACAACCTTACTAACATCTTCGGCAGTTTTGTCATTTTGCATGATTTTTTTTGTTTTATTTGAAGTTATAAACTTACTATAAAAAATCAATTTTTAAACATTACAAATAAAACCAAATGTGAGCATAAAAACTAAAAGTAACTAATTGTGAACTTTACAACTAAAAGCAACTAATTATATGGTATAACTAAAAAAAAAGCCTTTTATATCATATTAGTTTAAAATTTGCAGACTAAACATTTATTTAATGTAATCTGCAAAATCTGTATTAAAAAAATTATGAGAAAAATTAAAGAAAAAATTATGAAAAAAGTAGATTATTATCATCATTACCATCATCATCATCATCATCATCATCATCATCATCATCATCATCATCATCATCATCATCATCATCATCATCATCATCATCATCATCATCATCATCATTATTATCTTCATCATTGTCATCATTGTCGATCAATCATCATCATTTTCATCATCATTATCAATCATACCTCGTAAATTATAAAAATATGCTAACCCATCTTAACACACAACTCAATTATCATTAAATCTCCAAAATTAACTCAACCATCATTACATCTCAATCAAAATTACATCATTACATCTCAAATCAAAAATAACTCAATATTCATTACATCTCCAAAATTATTGCATCCCTAATAACTATTGACGCACATTTTTAACAAACAGAGATTAAGATAAGAAATTACATACTTTGAATGATTTATACAAAAAATTAGAAGTCTTTTTAAAAAATATCATTGATAATTTACACTTCTACTTTGATTTTAAAAAATGAAACAATATTTTAGTAGGAAGGATTTTCAAGTAATGCTTTTGTAAAATCTGTGGATGAACTGTAAAGCCAGAACCCTAAAATGCCTCTGGCATTACATAATGATTTTTTTTTTTCATTGTTTTTTAAAATTAGTGGTATAACACGCATATAATAAAAATTCATTAATCATTAATATTTGGTTGTTTATTGCAATATTATAGTACACCTATATACATGCGTATAATAAAAATACATTGTTCATTATTACTGGTTGTTATTTGCAAAATTTTATTAAACGTTTTAGTTAATAAAACTAAATCGTAATAATTGAAAAAAATGTGTTCAGTATTTGTTATAAAAAGTATTCAATTTTTATATGGTAAGGGACGGTTGTGTCTAGATCATATCCGACTCGCAACCATTTTAACGCAGAGCAATGAACTAAATCGGAAATAATGTAGTGAGTGTAACTTTATCTACTATTTTAGTGATAGGCAGTGTAGAGAGAGCATACAACCATTGTATTAGAAATAAGTAAAGTGAAGTGAAAACACATCGATTAAAGCGGTTTAGTTTAGAGATACAGAATTCCAGTTCATTAATTTATTATTCGACAAAACACTGGTACCATGCTACCGTTGCGAGTGGGATATGATCTAGACACAACCGCTTTAACCATCTGTTAAAAGAACCATTTGCAAAGTAAGCTTCCTTAAAAAAACGACATAAACAAGCGCGACAGTGAGAATAATCATGAGACTTGCATCACGTGCCTCTGTATATTTACAACGCCAGAGTGTGCGCGAGTAGCGTACTAATTATTTCGCCGCGTTTAATTCAAAATCGCGCTATTATTCAATCGCTTGGCAGTTTATCGAAGTATGCTGCTAGACCGGTGTTTCAGTAAAACTGCCGAGCCGTTTACTTTCTGATTTTATTCGACATCTATCTGTCGCGTTAATTTTTAATGTAGCATTTGTTATATAAAAGAGAAATGCCATCAAAAAGATAATGACAGTATCCATATTATTTTTTGCGCAAAAACAAAACAACACAAAGCAATAAACACACAAACAAAAAAACTCGACTTGAGGTTGATAGTTTTAAATAAGTAGCTTGTCTCTCTTTTTTTTATAGATCAGACTAATATTTGCTAATTTCCAGAGAGTTGATACTATTCCAGAATTAAAAGATTTATAGAAGACTTTTGTAAGCGGAATTGCAAAGCTTTTGGCACATATCTTAAGTATTAAAGAGTGCAACCCGTCAGGTCTAAAAGATTTGTACGGGTTTAGATTGGTAAGTTCATTAATAATGTCTGCAATAGAGAAATCCAAGTTGTTATTATTGCATTTAGGTTTTGCATTTATAATTGCATTTAGGTTTAACTTCACTTTTGTTTAACGATGGCAAATTTTCGGATCTTTCAAGAGTAAACATAGATTTGAATTGAGAGTTCAGAAGTTCAAGTATATCGGGAAGAGTTTTAGTAATATCTCCTGAATCATTTTTGAGAGAACGAATTTTATCTTTAATTTTTAGTTGGTTGTTAATGTATTTGTAGACGAATTTTAGGTTGTTCTGAGATTTTGATATTATTTCTTTTTTATGTAATATATTGCTTTAAATATTTCCGCTTTAACGGAACGATTGTTATATGTTTTGAGATCTTTATTCTTCCATTTAGTTAAGCAGTTGATGTGTCTAGCCAATTTTTTTTTGCTCGGATTAAGCTTTTATTATGTAGAGTAACCCAAGGATCATACTTTTTTTTTTTAATCTTGGGGATAAAAAATTTGCATGCAGTACGATAAAAAGAAAATATTATATCGGACATTTGATCCGCACTTTTGTGTAGAAATAAAATATCCCAATTGATTAATGCAATAAAGTTTGATAGTGAGTTATAATCAGCTTTGTTGTAACTAAACAATTGAGGTTTGTTTTCGGGTAGTGGTTCTGAAACTAAGATTCTCCATGGTAATACTTAAGTGACCCTTACTGTTATTACCTAGTATAGCATTAGGAGACAAATTTAAAGTAGAATTATTTTTGTAGGTAAATAATAAGTCCAACATATATTTTGGGGAACCATAGGTTGTCTGGAAAGTAGGGAACGTGATGTGTTGTGTAAAGAGGTTGTTTTGGTAAATGTTCCAAAATTCATACTCGTTAGAATTGTTTGGATTGAAAGATTAAATACCATTATTAGAACATTTCATATTCGGGAAATTAAAATCACCAACAATCAAACAGTCATCGTAAGGCATCCTAATTAAGCTATGAACTAATTGGAAAGATTCAGCGACATTTTATTAGATTAGCATCGTTTGGTCTATATGTACACCCAATAAGTATGCGTTTATTATTAGCTTGTACTGATATCCAAACTTGTTTAAGTGAATTTGTATAGAACTGATTAACTTCGTGAGAGTTAAATAAGTCAGTAATGTAGATGACTACACCGCCACCTCGACGTCCGTCACAGGGATCTTTGCGATATAAATTTTTAGAAATCAATATAAAACAAATTATTAAAAACCTGCAATATTTTGAGACTAATTTGTCTAATTATTAGTTATTTGTGCTGACCTTTCAGAATAACCTCTAAATAATAAAAAATTTGATTTAAGATTCAACTCAAGCAAAAATACCTTTTTTAAGTTTTAAGATTCAACCCAAGCAAAAATGCCTTTAAATTAGCAAATTTGATTGATAATTTATTGTTAATCTCAATTCAAAAATTATAATTAGATGTTTATTGTACTCTAAAAACTGTTTAGGGCTCAAAAGATACAGCAAAAAGATAGACAATATACGGCAAAAAGATACGGCAATATACGGCAAAAAGATACGGCAATATAAAATTAGGAAGTCCTATGTTTTTTAAACTTTTTACAGTTTTAGAATGAATGAACCGAAAGGCAAAAAGGTGCTGTTTTTTATTTTTTAAAAGGGTTTCTGTCTCACGTCAACTTAATGGAAAGACTTGTTTATAAAGCCTTAAACTAAAAAAAACCTAAAAAAAAAGTAAAAATATTTAAAGCTTCTAATTAAAAAGCAGCAGTTTAGTAAAAACCAAATAAATATATTTACGTTAGAAAGTAGACAAATAAATATATTTGCGTTAGAACGTGGACAAATAAATACACACATTAGTTCTAACACAACGTACGCATTGATTAGTTTGCAAGATAGATTGATTTAAAAATTAAAACCAAATAATCTATAAACCATTTATTATAAAAATATGGCGCTTCAAACGAAAATTGGTTCATCATCCACAATTTTTTAGAAAATTGTGGATGATGAACTGTTTTAGAACTTTTTACACATAAAAATACATCTATAATTTTTCTAATTAAGCTTTATGGTATTTTTTTAATTGCAGAAAATTGTAGCTAACCACTTTACAAATCAAACACCTTTTTTATAGAATAGTGAACAAATAAGAAATTGGTAGTTTTATTTTTACCAAGTTGATATTTTAAGATTGATAACAATCAAAGCCCAGCTGAATAATACCAGTTAGCAAAGCCAAGCTGAATAATACCAGTTAAAAAAACGATATGACAATAAGCAATTAAGAGCAAAGAAAACTTAAATGCCTTAGAAGCAGTTTGAATTTGTCAAGTTATCAAATAATCCATATCCTCATAGAATTATCAAATTTACGAGCAGTCGGTGTATCTCCACTAGAATCAGAATCTGAAGAGTCATCGACAAAGAAATGACGTTGACCAGATGTTGAAACCAATAGCGGCAATGACGGATGAAGACTATAAAACAAATACAAAAATTTTATAAATACTCAATTCCTTTTTTAGTTTATATATTTGAAAAAATATCAAAAGGATAAAATTTGCAACATACCTAACACCATTAACTACATCTTCATGCGCTTGAAACATTCTGGTTGGTTTAAAACAACATTCGTCATTGTTTAAATTATTAAAAACGCGACATAAATTATAAAAGCCAATCGAATGAGTTGTGTTTCCAGTAAGAACGTAAGAATCACTCCTTAAAATTAATGTAATATATGTATTAGTAAACATTTTTCAAAACATTCAATTTCAAATACATAAAACATGCATGTGTGCGATTCACATTATAATATAAAATAATAATCACACAAGCATTCTCTTCAAGATTACCTGTGTTCCTTTATTACCTAGGAGCATGTGTACCAAAAATTAGAACAATAGAAGAAATTTTAGCGGTTGCCGTGTTTTATAAGATAAATATTGTATTATATTTTATATATAAATGTATCATGTACAGTTATACATATTATTCACTAAACCAGCCAACTTGCCTATTATTACAATTATTACTTGTCTATTATCGCCACTTAACATTTTTGCCTGTTATTAACATTTAACCCTCTATAATTTAACTATCTATAATTAATACTGCATAATATTTTATTGATAAGATTTTGCTTTCTGTTTAATTTAGAAATCGATACAGCAACCACAAGGTCTTCTGCAGAAGTGTGCTTATTGGTAAACCTACACAAACTCTGTTGATTGCCAGACTTTTATTAAGAAAGGATGTTTATCAGAGGTTTTCCATCATTTAGAAGTCAAAAAAAGTATTTGGGCAACAAATTAAGCAGTTTTTGTTATATCGGAGAGAGAAAGAATACCAAATCAAAGAATTTCTTTACCTATAACAGATTTTGGACGTACCCTAAGTAGAACACAGTAAGTAAAATCTTAGTCAAAAGCGCGGAAAGAAAGTTAAAAATACTTTATAAAAATTAACAGCGCGGAAAGAAATTTTATAAACAATTATACAATTATAACAGCGCGGAATTAACATTTAATGCTGAAAAAACGCAGAGAATCAAAGTTAGACAGCTGTCACATAAAAGGAGTTTTCCAGACCTTGAAGAAATTTTTAAAATATCATCCAAGAATTCACCAGAGGCGATGAAAAACAATGAAAATAAACCATTCTTACGTCAGCAGCATAACAATCCATTAAGTTGTAGTATGGCGATTGATGGAAATTCAACAGTTAGGGAAGCATGGAAACGAGTCTGAGAATCTAAAATGGTAATAAGGCGTCAAAGCAGTAAAGCTGAATAGATGGGAAAAACTGAACTCGTTTCTTTTTCATCAGCAGTTGACATTGTAGATGCAAGTAGCTCTAGTTTCTTGGATGATGAATATCATGTTTCTTTTATTTTCAGCACAAGTATTTAAACAGAAAAAAAAAGAAGATGAAAGTTCTAACAAATAATGATGTATTGTCTCTTAATTGTGTTAATATTTTTGATCACCGTGCATTCTTCGTGGTTGGAACAGTGGCTCAAATCCTTGGTCACTCAGTAAAAGATTTATCACTTCTGTACAGCGCAATCCACAGAACAAGGCAATCCGTTCAAGAAACAGTGACTACAGATAACAAAGTTGATTTCTCTACTGATGATCCACTTCTTCTATATTGGGATGGAAAGCTATTATGGGTGGTCAACAAAAAGTGGATAGAATTGTCATTCTTTTGAATGGTGGTGAAATGAAAAAATTGCTGGGCATTCTAAATTAAATAAAAATGTTCGGGGACTGGTTTTTGATACTACAACACTGGGTTTAACATTGGTGTCTGAACAATAAAGGAGCAGAATCTTAACTGTAATCTAATAAGAAAGCACCATGTGTTTGAAGTCATATTTTTTACTGTTTTCATGAACTAAAGGAGAACCAGAAGTTGGAATTTTAAACCTTTTTAATAACAAATGGCTAGCAATCGAGAAGAAAGTGCTCACTAAAGAAAATAAAAAACTTTGATTTTTTTAAATTAAACTTCGCGAAGAAATGTTAGTATACTATTGTGAAATAATTAAAGATCAACAAATTGATTGGAATGATTACTTAGTAATCGCAAATTTGTGCCTTATTTTTCTTGGAAGTTCAACTACAACATTGTAAAAGTTTTGGGCTCTAGGTGCAACACATAATGCACATTGGATGAAGAAAGTTATATATTTTCTAAAAATAAATTTGTTTCAGGATCAATTTGTTATTACTGCAAAGGAAAAAAAAAGTAATAACAGACAGGACTTTTTTTGGCATTTATATATAAAAAGTTTTGTAAAGAAGATCCATTAGCTGAGCAAGCAACATTCAATAATGACAAGTTTCTTCATTGAATTTAAGAATATCCAAATCATACAATTGTAATTGCTACAGCAAAAGCTTTACCTCGCCACCTCTGTTACTTTTCTGAACATTTAATAGAATTGATTTTCTTTGATTTCTGTAATAACAATAACACCAAGAAAGACTTGAAAACTTGAAACAACAGCTAAAGCAGAAACCTCTCAAAAGATTTAATGCTGCCACACTTGATTGCCACAGTCCATTGACTTCATTCATCACACAATGCACCACAGATCTTTTTCACCTAATTTCAAAGAATCAGTGTTTTTTAAAAGGGCAGATTTGCTTAAAGCTCATTTCTTTTTGATTTTTCTTCAAAAGCTATGCCGTTTTATAAAAAAAACTTTGAAAGTAGGGAAATAAATTGTGGTACAACATCAGTATGTTTTAAATATTTAAAATCTGCCACTGTCAGTCAAGTATAAACAGTATAACAGGGTTTAATTTTCATTTTGTCAAACACATTTGTTATAAAACAACCATAGTGTAGTATACATTGGTGAAGCTGAGCTTAAATCATTTAAAAAAGCAAAAACTTCATTTAGCTCTTTTCTTCTTTTATTGTTATGGTACGAATATATCTGACTTTTTCCATTTTTAATATTTTATGCAGAAAAAACATTAACTGACATCTGTTTCATAAGGTTGTTCGGATGGGTATTTTTGCTTAACTTTTTTTTTGTTTTTTTGTTATTTAGGTACCCTTTTGTTATTTAGGTTAACTTGGTTCCATAAAACTGTAAAAATTATATTTCAAAAATTTGATTAGACACTGTCCAACCCAAACAAATTTAGATCGGACATTTTGTCCAGGACTTTATATATAGATGTATACATATTATATATAATTATATAATATATACATATACATCAAAATATATGTATATATATATATATATATATATATATATATATATATATATATATATATATATATATATATATATATATATATATATATATATATATATATATATATATATATATATATATAAATTGCTGCTTTCAGCTTTTACTGCATATTATTATAAGCACTTTGACTTTTAGGCATATTTTCACTTGCTTTATCTTTTACAATTTCCTTGACCTCATTTTGCAGAGTACTGCTGCTGCCACCACAAGATATATTAATCCTTTTAAACATTTCCACTGTAATTATATATATATATATATATATATATATATATATATATATATATATATATATATATATATATATATATATATATATTCTGTACAAACTTATTATTAATTTAACTATTTTCAAAGGCAAGTAACATTTTTGATGAAAAAATAGCTAGCTTGTTGCCTAAAACTGGATAGCATCTCTTTTTGCATCACAATATTCTTAAAATTCCAGAAATTCTTACTTAATTGATTATTGCAAATAAAATTATATTGTGTTAGTTTAAAAACTTGTATTTTTTACCTTTTTTCATAGCCCTGTAGGCCAATACTTTTTTGATTTACACAGCCTGTGTCATTTGTTTTAAAAAAAAGCTTAAAACAAATTCCAGCATTCCAGCCTGAAATATTGTAAATCCGGAAATTCAGTTGGAGCAAAATTCCGGTTCATTGCTACTCATGATAAAATTAGATCCAACTTAGAAAATAAAACTGGACTTCATTTAGAATTCAATGCAGAAAACCAAAAGAAAAAAATACAAAAACATTTTTTTACATTCTAGTTTATAGCAATGGAGGACCAAATTTTCAAACTTTTCTTGAGAACTGATCTTCTATAACATACTTTGTTAATACCTGTCAATATCAAATTGTATTCTTTGGTTAGTGTTGACTTCTCTAGATAACTTAAAAACAGGCTCCACTGTATTCCTCATATCCCAACAAAATAATTCATTGTCCTACATTAAAACAAGTTCACAAATAATGTACATCGAATATAAAATATAATAAAAAAAATATAATATAATAATTATATATACATTTTATCAGTTTTCTGACATTGTTGAGACCTGATAGATGGCAAGAAATCATTGCTCATTTTTTCAATAAAAATGAATAATAGTTGTTTGTCCTCTTTTCCTCTTTAAAGAGGTCTCAAAAACAATTCAAGGGGCTCTGATGTTGAACACTTGATTCTACCCCTGCATTATATATTTACATACGTATAAATATATATATATATATATATATATATATATATATATATATATATATATATATATATATATATATATATATATATATATATATATATATATATATATATATATATATACATATATATATATATATACATATATATATATATATACATATATATATATATATATATATATATATATATATATATATATATATATATATATATATATATATATATACACATTACAGAACTGACTTTTGAAGGGGAGGAGGCAAGGTAAAGCAGGAGTGGCAAGAAAATTGGGGCAAAAATATTTGTAATTACAATATTTTATAGTTGTAAATTAAAAAATGAATTAAAAACCTTCACATGAACTTAAACTTAAACACCTGAGCTTCACAAGATTCTGATTTAAAATGTTACTCAATCTTTTAAAGGTCACTAAACAAAAATTATTTAAAAACATAATAAGCGCAAATCTCAGTGTTATTCTTTGAAGCATTCTTTAGGCAACTTTTATTTATCCTTGGAATGATTTTTAAAAATTGCTAAATTTAAAAAAACAAACAAAATCAAAAAATTTATAAGAAATATAATTTCTTAACTAAATTTGTTAAAATTGTTGACGTATAAACTTGTTAAGACTTTTGATGTAACAAATTTGTTGGCTGTTGACATAACAAATTTGTTGAATGTTGACATAACAAATTTGTTGACTGTTGACATAACAACTGTTGACTTAACAAATTATAATTTAAAAAATCTGTGCTAAGTTTTAATTTTATTTTGATCTACTTATAATATATTTAACTTGTTAAAAATATAGAAATTATTTTATCTTATGAATAAAAAACAAGTAACATCTCACGAAAAGTATCAATTATTATTACTATAAAAGTATCAATTATTATTACTATTGATATATTTGGGCTGAGTCTAATGATAGCATTTCTCTTTTAGATTGGGTCAAAGTTTTTAAATATAGTTGTACTGTACACTTTGCATTAAACTGCATTAAACTTTGATGTAGAAACTTAAATTACACTGCATTAAACTTTGATGTAGAAACTTAAATCAGAAGAAAATGATTTGAAAGCAAAGTTGAAAACTTAATTAGCAACTACATTTGTAGTTGCTAATTAAGTTTTCAACTTTGCTTTCAAATCATTTTCTTCTGATTTAAGTTTCTACATCAAAGTTTAATGCAACTTATTGTTGTTTTTAAAAACAACATTGATTTAATATTCCATAATAAGAATTATAAAAATTCAACAAACATTGTCAATTATAAAGACCAGCTCATCTTTGTTTTAATGTTCATTTTTTACAAACACTCTGTAAACCTGTTCTAGCTGCAAAGCTTGAGCCTCTATCACATTGTCATAAGGTTGGATATCTTCCTTTTTATTATAATTTCTGCTAGCTTCACTGCTTAAGCAAGCTTTTATCTCTTGTTTAACCAACCAAAACACAATCTTGCATGACATGTCATTCAGGAAGGTTGCACAACTTTTACCGCAACTGTTCCTTCATGCTCAAAAAATTATTCATTTAGTTTCTTTACTCCAACATTAACGCATAAGAATTTTCTGCTATCTTCATGCTTTCCTGACTCATACAACTTACATTAATTTGACTTTTTTTAACGGGTTTTTTGGCTTTTTACTTCTCTTATTTGCTTTTTTGTTATTTTTTCATTTAAATAGTGGATGCTTACAGTCTTGTTGAGAATGAATTTGTAAAAAAAAGTTGGACTACTTTCCAAGTGTTTCAAATCTAGAATAGTGTTTCTCCAAAATTTGACATCTTTAGTGTTTCTCCAAAATTTGACATCTTTATATCGTTGATTTGACATCTTTATATTGGCTGTTTTGCAATAAATAATAAATAAACACAAACCATTCCATGCACCCTTCTACCCCCAGAAATAAACACAAACCATTCCATGCACCCTTCTACCCCAGAAATAAGAATTTTTTTTCTTAAAAAAATCTTCAAGATTTTGATCCAAAACTTTTTTAGTTCAAAGCCACATATGATCAGATTAAATAAATAAAAATAACAAAATAAAATTTTAACTTAAAAACTTTAATAAACCATAAGTTTATAAACTGTAATCTAAATTTAAAATGAGACACCTAAAAAAACCAATATCTTATGTTGACATCTAAAAAACACCAATAGCTGATGTTGACACATAAAAAACACCAATAGCTGGTGTTGACACATAAAAAATACCAATAGCTAATGTTAGTACCTAAAAAATACCAATAGCTAATGTTGACACTTAAAAAACACCATAAAAATGTATTTTTAATAATAGTAGCAAATAGTAGCAAACACTATAATAATTCACTTAATTCACTTTTTTTTTTTCATTCACAATTTATTCATTCAATTTAAACATTCACACTTTACAATTAGGTTATAAAAATATCATTATAAAAATCTGTCCAAACCACACACACATATAAAACTACAAATTAAAGTTAAACCATTTTATTAATGTAAATAAAAACTAATAGCCATAAGTAAAATGGATGTCAAATTTAAATTGCAAATCAACTGCTGTAGACTACAAGATTTGACACTTCTAAACAAATATACTATTCATGTTAATAAAAATTTAAAATTACAACTGTTATAGACTACAAGATTTGACTTTCATATAAAAAGTGTATATATATATATATATATATATATATATATATATATATACTATAGCATATATAGATATACATTTGTTGGCTTTGTTTTATCAACTTTGTTCCATACAGTTTTTTTGAAAAAAAGAAGGAAAAAAAAAAAAAGAATAAGGAAAAAAATGATTGCTTTCTCAACCCAAGTCAATGCAGTGGTACAAGATTACCTAAGGGTTGTGAGTGACACAATGTAGTGGCACACACAAATTTTCTCTATTTAGTCAGTCGATGTATGTACTGGAGCCCCTAACAGTCTTCTACTTCAGTATGATGTCAGACTGCTTATCACACACGCACACAAATATATATATTAGGTTTGTTAAATAGAAACTTGTCAATTGTTTAGCAACTTTTTTTAAAATTTAAGTTACCTTTCTGGCACCACTGAACAAATAACATCCATCATTTGTAAACTGCACCTGTGTTATTCCACCTTTATGACCATGCATTACACATATGTTTTCATCTGTATTGCAATCATATAAGCCAACTAAAAAAACAAATTTATTATTTGTCTAAAAAACTGCTGGATTAAAATTGAAATTTTAAAAATTAAAAAATTAAAAAACAGTGCTTATTTAAATCTATATATATATGTATATATATATATATATATATATATATATATATATATATATATATATATATATATATATATATATATATATATATATATATAGTTTTATTTACTACCTCCTCCAGTTTATTTTTCTTTACACTAGTATTTTACTTAGCTTATTTAAAACTTAAAAAATACTTAAAATATAAGATAAAATACTCACTTGGGAAATGTTACATGTTAAAAATGTTATAATAAAACAGGTTTATTACTAGTTTTACCAAATGTATTATGAAAGTTTTTCCTCACGCAGGATTTTAATTTATATCGCTTAGGGACATTGTTAGCCATTGTTAGCATATGAAAGGAAATAAAATGAAATAATTTTAATTGAACATTGCACTTACTATCGTCTATAATTTGGAAAAATATATGGATGTCTCAAATAAGATCAAAAAAGGTTTTTTTGATAGAAAAAAACACAGAAAAACTACCTTAGAATAAGCTGCCAACGAAAGGAAAGTTCTAGGATATCTTCATTATAGAAAGATATCTTCATTATAATCTTGTACTTTGCCTTTTTAGCCCGTAGCTTGATTCAAATCTTTTTTCTGCAAACAATGTCACATTTTACTATTTTTGCTGCATTTGTTGGTGTTTATTATACTTTTTATAAAAGTATTATTACTTTTTTTTGGTTTTTAGAAGCTCATCAAGAATCAGAGATATGGAAAATTATAAAATTAAAAGACCTGATATTGCCCCAGCATGCATTGACGTGATGAAATGAAATCCTTGGTACCCCTACCTGGAGTGGTGTCAAGTTAGCTGTAAAAAATGGGGAAAATATAGCTTTTAAAAAAGATTTAAGGACTGGGTTTATAAACTAAATGTAGTAAATGATCCTGCCGAAAGAAAACTTATTTAAGACTACTCAAAAGTGTGCGCTAATTTCAAGATTCTTCTGTCAATAAAAGAGCATAGAGCAAAACATTCAGTTTATACCAAAATAAATTTGATTAACTTTGGAAACTAATCTAATTAAATATATATAACTAAAGTATAATATAAATACTTTAGTTATACTTTATAATTATATATAATATAACTATAGTTATTATAAATATATGTATAACTAATAATATTAAATACTGATTGTTTTTGAGTTTTGTGATTTGAATGTTGTTCACTATTTAAGCAAAATTAACTGTTTGTTTTACTTTTAATAAAAAAAGCAATTGAAAAAATAGAAACTGTTAAATTTTCTATTTCTAGTTTCTAACACATGTATATATATATATATATATATATATATATATATATATATATATATATATATATATATATATATATATGCAGTAGTGGTGTAGTGGTAAGAGCGCTCGCTTTGTAAGCAAGAGATTCGGAGTTCGACTCCCACCACGTCCTTGGAAGTACTGTGCTCAACTTAATTTCTCCGCGCAGCAGCCTTGGTTGTCAAGGTTCGTGTTTCGGAGTTAAAAAGTTGTGAGAGGGTTGTACCACGATTTACAAAAAAAAAATGAGTAGCCTCCTCGACTGTAGTGGCCCCCTCGGGCCTTGGGGAGGTGAATAAACAAAATATATATATATATATATATATATATATATTATATATATATATATATATATATATATATATATATATATATATCCAGGGATTACAGCAGCGTTTTTAGATGTTTGAATCAACAACTTTTAGACATGAAGCAAACTTCAAACTTGGGTATGTTTATGCTTAAAAAGAATGCTTTGCAAAAATGGCTTTGTATTGAAATTAGAGCTTAAAAACAACAAAAACCCAAGAACTTGTGATCCTGTAAATCCAATTTACTGAGTTTCATATTTAAAATAAATAATTTAAAATGCAAAGATGATAGGTGAAACAAGGTGGTGATGAGGGGGAACAAGATTAATGGTTTTTGTTGTTCCTTTGCAAATTATTTTCATTTGATATAAGCATAAACATGCCTAAGTTTAAAGTTTGCTCAATGTCTGAAAATCATCTTTCTTAAAGGGATCCCAAACTCCCAACACATGTTGTGTTCATATTAAAGATAATGTTAAAAAAAAAGGTCTAAACCAAATTTTTTTGATTAAAAATAAACAATGAATGCATACCGTGAAAAACAAATGTTTTTGTTTTTGCCGAAGCTCGTCTTCTCCATTTTTTCCAACCACTCGGAGTCTTCAAATTATGCGTCGCAATCTACAGACTTTGGCAATTCCTTTGAAGTGCGCTTAATTCATAAAAGTTTTAGTATTTGACGTCATGGTAGACTTTTAAAAAAGAAAAGTGTAATTAAACCAAGCTGCGTTTTTCTACTGTAGTATTTTTTTAACATACAGCAAAACAAATTTATTTGTATTATTTTTCTAAACATCGCAAAAAAAAATTTGTAAAAAGAAAAAATGATAAATTATTTTTATTTTATAGGAGCAACTTGTTTTTTACAGATATCTTAATAACTTTTGGATTTATATATCTTACTTATATTTCTTTTGTTTTTAAATTAAAATAAACATTAAAGCTTTACTTACCAATCTTATGATTTTCTTACGAGTATTTTACATTATATAGAACATTATATATACGGTCTCTTGTTTTTGTGCAAGAGAGCGCAGTATTATATATTCTAAATCTTACATTAAACAATCAAAACTATTTTCTAACTTCTCTGGTCATTTTTATGCTATGAAGTTTTTTGTTTTTCTGTCGAAAAAAAGTAATTACAAGCAATTGCTTTCATTTAATTAGAGATATTTGATGAACTGTTAAATTTTTTTATTAAAAAATTTTTTTGATTACGCTGATTAAATTTAAATTGCTGAGTTTGCTAAATTGGATATGGATAAAAAAAAATCATTTCATTTTGCATTTGATTTTTGATAACGAAACTTTTGAAATGTCGGCAACTCCATACCAATTAGAACCTGTTAAGGTTATGAAAAAAAGGAACAAGAACACACCAAACAATACAGTTGTCAGTAGTGTCAGATATGAAAGTTTTAATGTTGTTATGGCTAATGCATCAAAAATAAATCGTTTGAGTGTTGCTGTTGACCAATGTTGAAAAAGAATGTCTTTGTTGTGTTGAAATAAAAGAAATAAATATCGCCCAAGGTATTATAAAATAACTCAAAATGGATAGTAATTTAAATTGTTAAAATGTCGCAACGCGCGTTAAAAAACATTATATTTGGTATTTCCCAATTTATGTGCCGTAATTTGTGAAAATACCTAATGAAAATTTTACTAAACAATAGACAATGTGACGTCTGACTTTCTCGCACAAAATTCGGGTAGTTCTAAATGTCACACAATAAAATTTTGTTTTTACTCTAACATAATTTAAATACTATAGGAACAAATACGTTCCTAGGCACAGGTCAGAAATTTAAGGTTTAAGTTTACTATCCGAGTACCCCAAAAATGTTAATAAATATAGTAAGTGGGGCATCTGGACACTTCATTTTCATATTTAGAAAAATCTGGAAGGTATCACATTTTTAAAAAATCGACATTGAAAATCTGATAAAAAGTCATTATTTTCGTACTTAAAAAAACTAAATATACAGACAGAAAGTTAAAGTTTATTTAAAAAAATGTTCATATGTTATACATAAACATTATTAGAATACACAAAGTTAGTCAAAAAAACATTTTTTATTAAAAATGTTTCTTTTTGACAATGCATTTTTATTTTCATTTTATTATAGATAACCTAATATATTGAATCTATGGCTCCTCTGCTCTCTAAGGAGAAGAGAGAATACCATTTTAAAAGAAATCATGTACTTTTTCAAAAAATCATTTGCTGTTGCTGCCTTGAAAAGAACAACAAATGCATTCCAGTTAATAAAAAATTGGAAGGCCTGGTTTAAGTTTTCTGTAAGCCTGAGTTTTCACTTAAAGTATTTGCCTACCCTACAGGATTATGCCCAGGTTGCAAGAAAAACTTATACCTCTGTAAGGCTGGTAAAACTATTGCAGACACAGTTACTTTAAAATGGAAAAATTCTGATTTGTATAGCTTGCAAACCTCTAGAGATTGCTCAATATTATGCACTATATGCAGTCAAGGAAGAAATAGATTATTAAATAAAAGTATGAAAAAGGGAACTAGCTCAACACTGAAATTTTGCCAAATATGTTTCTGTGAAATTGCTAAAGTTAAACCCCACAAATGTTCCCCTTTAAAGAGTAGCACAAATCTTTCTGAGAGTATTTCTAAAGTTTCTAAAAAAGTAAAAGAACAAGTAGCTTCTTCCCTTCTAAAAGAAATTTATTCTGATCAAGAACAAAGTCTAGGAGCTCAAGCCATTCTCAGAACAGGTAAAATATTGTTAAATAAAAATAGCTGTTATGTACGTTTTTAAAATAACAGTTTATATTATATTAAGGAGGTAAAAGTATTCATATTACTATCGGTACTCGGGAAAGTGACCAGAGAAAGATTCCTTATAATGAAGTAGAAGTTTTAGTAAATACCTTAGGACTTAGTCAATTGAAGTCATATGAAATGTTAAAAACATTGAGGAGAAGCGGCGTAAAGTTTGAGTCAAACATAGAGAAAGCCCTGGATGAAAAAAGTAAACTACTTTCCAACTTTTATGTCACTGAATTATTAGACTTTCAAGAAAAGGAAAAAGATAATGACTACGCTACAGTGAAGAGACACTTGGTATATATTGAAGATATTACAACATTTTTGGATTTTGTAATGAAATATCGAGGGCAGGTTCCACAAAACACATTTGTAAAGGTTGGAATAGATTCAGGTATTTATATTTAATTTATTTAATTTATATTACTTATTCTATTTTAATAATTGTTTTTTTAAAAACTTGTTTTTAAAAATATTATTTGTACATATTTATTTACAAATATGTATGTGTGTAAGCATATATATATTTATAGGTGGAGGATCACTGAAAGTTATAGTAAATCTGTTTGATCCAACCAAGGACAGGACAGAAGATAGCAGCTCCTTAGGATCACACTCAGGAGCAAATACGTCACTTGTTTTAGCTTATTGTGAAAGGGTAAGTGAGAATCATTCTAACATGACAATGATTGTGGAAAAAATAAAATTGCATGAATGCAAGTACTCATTGGCTTCTGACATGAAGTTAATCAACATATTGCTAGGAATTTGGGTGTGTTTATTTTAAATAATTTTAAGATAATAAGGCATATTATGGTAAAAACTATATTAGAAAAATGTTTTTTTTACCCTACAATATATTTATAAATTGAATTATAATATAAAATTTTAGGCTCATGGAGGAAAGTATGCTTGTGCATGGTGTGAAGGTTCTTCAGAATTATTTTCTGGAGAGTTAAGAACATTTCAATCTTTGAATAATTACTATGAACTGTATTCATCTGCAGGATCTCCGGTGAAAAGAATGAAAGAATATAAGGTATAAATGAATAAATATATTGTAAATATTTTCAAAATTTATCATCCATTATAATTTTATCATTTTAAAAAGAATAAAAAAAATTTATTTCCATATATTTAGAATGTCATTAATCCTTGTCTGCTTAAGATAGAAGACAAATCTCTAAGTATAATAAGAGAGATTCCATTACTAGAACTTCACCTTCTGATGGGATTTGTTAACCATGTGGCAGAATTTATAATGCAACTTTGGCCTGGATTTATAGATTGGGTCAAGAGCATTTGATGCCTTCGAAAAGGTTACCATGGAGGAACATTTGAAGGAAACACGTGTAGAGAGATACTTAAAAGTTGCGACACACTTGAGTTGATAATTCCTGTTGAACTGTATCCTCTCTTAGAAACAATGAGAAAATTTAATAAGGTTGTTCATGGTGTCTTTAGCTATAAACTTGACCCAAACTATTCAATTTTAATTGAAAGTTTTACACAAAGCTATAAGGATGCACAAGACTATTGCAGAGAGGTAATTGCTATTTTCTTTACCCTTTGTATTTAAAACCAAGTTATTGATAAACATATTTATAGTAAGCTTTTTTAGTTTTTAGGTAAACAGCTCACGGTTACTTGGAAAGTACATGCTGTAACAGCACATCTGGAAACATTTGTTGATTTGAGTGGCCTTTCTCTTGGGCAGTTTAATGAGCAGACATCTGAATCTTGCCATTCCAAGATGAAAAGTGTAATAAACAGGTTTGGAGTCTCGCAGTACAGCAACAAACATAAAGAAAGAAGCAAAAGAATTGCTGAAGTGTTCAGTTCAAATAATTTATAAGTTATTGAACATTAATTGTACATCAAAACATAAACATTATTGAAATCTTAAAGTTAAAAAAATTTGTAAATTTATTCAAAAAGACACTAAAAATACATTAGTATAAACAGTTTTTGAAATATTTTATTTAGTATTTATTATATTATTATTATTTATATATATTAGGTTATTAGGCAACTATGCATACAATACTAATATTTTACTAAATTACTTATATACTATCAATATGTTCTACTTTACTAAGCATACTATGTTCCTAATATAATTCAAGCATATCTATACCTTTTTCACCAACTTAGATATATCTAAGAGCTGTCTAATGAAGTTGATGTGTAAATACAAAATTTAAGAGCATAAAAACTTGGAATATAAAGCTATTTTATGTTAGTTTTACTGTTCCGTCAATATATTTAGTTTTTTTAAGTACGAAAATAATGACTTTTTATCAGATTTTCTATGTCCATTTTCTAAAAATGTGATACCTCCCAGATTTTTCTAAATATGAAAATAAATTGTCCAGATGCCCCACTTACTATATTTGTTAACATTTTTGGGGTACTCGGATAGTAAACTTAAACCTTAAATTTCTGACCTGTGTAGGGCCTTTTCTGATTTTAGAATAAATTAACACAATATCGCATAATTTTAGGGGCTTTTTATTTATTGCTAAGTCGTTCTAAATAATAAGTAAATATAGTTAAAGTTAATATTTTAATAATTACAGTTGCAATATAACAAAAAAAAGATGTTTAATGTTGAACTTTTTATTTAGTTATTTATTTTTTACCTACTTTTGTTATAAAAAGACTTTAGTACCCCCGTCATTTAAATAATTTGTTTTAAATATATTTCGACGTGATTATTCAAACTAATTTTTTTCGTTTGACTTCCCCAAGCAAATTGAGACAAAATATCGTCTAACCAAATAAAAATGTTGTTACTAATTTTATATGGGTAATTAATGTAAAACATTTATTTATCAGAGTCTTATAATTGAGATAACAATTTTATACGGGTAATTAATGTAAAACATTTTTTTATCAGAGTCTTGATTGAGATAATAAATATTCAATATTAAAAGTAGAAAAAAAAACAACTAAACAAATAACCAAAAAAACTTTGACTAAAAAAAAAATAAAAATATTTCCAGAGTTTCTTTTGTTAAAAGTCTACCGTGACGTCAAATACTAAAACTTTTATGAATTAAACGCGCTTCAATAGAACTGCCAAAGTCTGTATATTGCGACGCATAATTTGAAGACTCCGAGGGGTTGAAAAAAATGGAGAAGATGAGCTTCGGCAAAAACAACAACATTTGTATTTCACGGTATGCATTCATTATTTATTTTTAATCAAAAAAATTTGGTTCAAACCTTTTTTTTTAACATTATCTTTAATATGAACACAACATGTGCTGGGAGTTTGGGATCCCTTTAAACATCAAAAGCTACTGCAATCTCTTATATTTTGTTATGATATGTAGTGCAGGGCACTACATATCATAACAAAATGAATGATTTATTAATAAACGATAGTAAATGGTTTAGTTCAGGTCAAGACTAATATTATCATGGTCACCCTGACAACATATAATCTAGTACAACCTACCACATGTCCTGTTGCCAGCTCTCAGAGAGGTTCCCATAAAAACGTGACTGGCTTTCTATGATCCTATCAAAGCCAGTCACATGAAATAAAAAATAGTTACATGCTTGTTCTTGGCATATGCTTATGTATTAATTCATGGATTTTTATTCAGGGTATGTAATAATTCATGAAACCAGATTTGAATCTTCTAGGGCAACCGGTAAAAATGGCAACCGGTTAACCATTTTTTGTTCAGTTTTCTTGAAATTGAAAACAGCTATTTTTCTAAAAAAACCGGTTGTTATTATACATTACTAAATAGATAAATAAATTGAAAAAAAAAATTTCTTCAAAGATTTCTTTTTTTGAAAAGCTAAAAAGTAACATGGAAAGCACAAATATTGTAAAAATATATATAGTTTTAAAAAAAGCACTTTGATATTGCATTTAGTTTTATTTATTTCCAATTTTTAATTCCAATATTTTTACCAATTATCAATAGATTAAATACTGACAGAATCTTTCAACATTATTTAAATTTTAGTTTAAAATAATCAAAACAATCAAGGAAAATCATGTAACACTAACTTAAAGTATTTTGTCAACTTTTTGATATTTTTATTTGTTTAATTTTTTGTTATTGTTGTTTAATTAATTTAATTTGAGATTATTAAATCTCAAAATCTTGTACCTCATCTTTGAAATAGAATAAAAAACCAAATTTTGATCCTTATTTTACTCTTCCTGTTTTTAAAACTAAAAATATTTTCTCTATGGACAGCATTCTAAAATTCTACTAAAAACGTATGTAAAATGTATTTCCTAAATCTTCAGCATATTAAATTATGCTGAAGCATATTAAATTAAAATATTAAAATGTTTGTAATATGTATCTTTGCATTACATCAAATCTTCGATATATCTATATATTACAAATAAATATGTTTGACTTTTATATATTACAAATAAATATGTTTGACTTTTATATATTACAAATAAATATGTTTGACTTTACAAATAAATATGTTTGAAGGTTAATTAAACCACAAAAACAAATTTTTCCTCAACAAAATTTATTTTTCATATTTTTAACTTTTATATTACTTTAAGTATATATTTTTACATTATACTTTGTAAACAGATCACATGCATAACGTTAATTTAAAAATAGCATTAACTCAGTTAAGAAAAGTATTTAAAAAAAAAAAAAAAGGTTATTGAGTTGCCACAAAAAAAAAAAGATTGAGAGAATTAAAAGAAAAAAATGATCCAAGTTCATTAGAGTCGAACTAAATTAACTATGAATAAAAAAAAGATGTTTAATAACTTTTTAAAATTTTGTTTGTATGAAAAAGTATGAAGAACTTTCTTAAGTTTGAAAAACTTTCTTTTAGTTTACAGATCTAATTCCAGTATTTTAATCCTGTAGGTTACATTTGATTTAAACGGCAATAATAAAAATTCATTTTTATAATAAAAATTTTTTTTCAGTATAATCTTTGCAGTAATTAAGCAATACAAAAGTTCTATTATGTATTAGATGGAAGAAGTGAAACAAAGGTAAAATGTTTTGACATATCAAAGGCTTTTAATAAAGTTTAGCATGCTAGCCTTTGGTGTAAGTTTGCTTTATATGATTTATTTGCTTTACTGTAAGTTTGCTTTATTTGTTGTATCTAGAATAGTTTTTAAAATTTTTGAATCTTTTTATTCTAACTGCAGTATTTAAGTTGTCCTTAATGGAAAACACTCTCCTTCATTTTCAGTAAATTTAAGGCACTACAAGGTTAGATGCTTGGTTATGTACTTTTCCTAATCTATATTAATGACCTTTCTTCAAATCTTACCTCTAAATTGGCTTTTTTGCTATTAAAATAATTATATACTCATCATCTTTTGATTATTTAAAACAGGCAGTGGCTGATGAATTTTAACCCAAATAAAACTTAGCTTTTTACTGCCAATAATTATTGCAATATTACTGATATTTCTATCTCTTTATATTAATACTGAACTTAATAGTAGTAGTGTCATTTCAAGCATGTTTGACACAAAACAGGTAATGCAAGAACAAGACACAAGTACATTTTTTATATAAATGTGAATGAAAGTGTATGCAATTATCTAACTTATGTAAACTTCAAATAATGTAATGTTAAAACACGTATCAAGTTTTATAGTTTAACTTTAAGTTGAAAATTGCATTGCAGCAATATCACCTTAAGTTTGATTTATAGCATTTACTTGCTGTTTTATAAAGTATTTTATTTATTAAATAGTGTTAAAACTATTCTGAGACTATACACCCAAATGGCTAAACTGGTTAGCTCTCTAGGTCTCTGATATACACCGCCATGGTTCAAATCCTTGTGCTTGCACTTTTTTTTTTTAATAACCTTAATCTTGTTTTAATGTTTTTTTAATAAAAATATTAAAACAACATAAATACAACAATAAAACATTTTTGAAGTTTTCACATTTACATAACATATTTAAAGATGTTATATTGGATAACAAACAAAAGGAAGAGAATTTTTAAAAAAGCATAAAATTTCTCAAAACAACAAAACATCGGAAAAGATTTCTTGCGAATATGTCATGATAGAGATACTTATGTACTCAGGTAATTAGTTTTAACAAGCTGCAGATAGTCTTAAAAAAATTATGGTCTGAAACTTAATAAAGAAAAAAATTAATAACCCTGTCCTGCTATTCATAATGAGCTGCTGTGGAGGCAAAAAAAAAAAAAAAAATTGTAGTAAGCAAAAACTTTATTTTAACAGTTAAAAGTCTTTTTAGCTATATTATTTTCTTTGCTCTTAAAGCAATTTTTTTTAGTTGACTAAAAAATATTGAAGTAAATAAGGAATAAGTACAGAAATGGTTGCTTTGTTGAAGACCCATATTTTACAAGTCTGGACAGCTAGGATACACATATAGAAAAAAAGTATAGAAAGGATTAGTGAATAGATTTACAAAAACCCATATTTTTATGGATCTGGTTTTTGTTTAAACATCTTTAGTACTAATTAAGAATACTACTCTTTATAAAAAACACAACAGTTAATGTGTTTTATTGCTTAGTATTTTTATTGCTTAGTATTGCTTAGTATTTTATTGCTTACATCAACTTTAATTGTGTTTATATAATAATTAGAATATTATTTAGTTTTATGCATGCTTTAGTATGATAAATAGTTTTAGATGAAAAAACTGATAAATAATAATTAAAAACTACCTGTCTTTGAAAATGAACCAAGTGCATAACATCCATTATATTGTTTGGGGAAGTTTATACAAGATACAATTCCATGTTGCATGCGAGCTACATTAATTTTTTTTAATTTTTACAATTTTAAACTTAAAGAATTTAATATTGTATAAAACTAAAATCAAATAGAGGAAATAACAAAACAAAAACTTTTTTTTCTTGAACCTTTTTTCCCTATAAATTACATTGAACTGAAAATATACTTAAAACATAAAAAAGACATAAAAAGAAATAAAAAATGATAATATAAAAAATTAATCAATGTAATTTATCACTAGAAAAAATCTTTTTTCTTTTGGTTTGACTTAATTAAAAATTTAATTCAATTTGTTATACAGAACTGGTGAGTTGCCTTAGTTGTGGTGAATGGAACTTTATCAAGCAGAGGGAAAACTCTGATATAAAGCCCCCTAAATTAAATGTGGATTGCTTGATATACCTGAAACAGTAATTATCCCAGTGGATAGTATTACCAAAAAAAAACTCTGTCCTAATCTTCTAAATATATTTCTTCTATATCTGCAAAACAGGTCAATGCCAGAAATATTTAATTACATACTGAATGTTTTTATTTTTTTAAACAAAAACATTCTGAATATTTTTAATTTTATTTTTTATATATGTATATATAAAAGAGATTAAAATGATATTAGGAAATAGGGTCCTTACATATGGATTGAGTATTAGGGTCCTTACATATGGATTGAGTATTAGGGTCCTTACATATGGATTGAGTATCAGGGTATATCATACTCATGGATATTCTAGTTTTGATTTAGTACATCACTTTTCCTATGTATTATTTTTTTTGGTGAAAAAACAGTTATTGCTACAGAGATTTTTTTTTTCTAAAAATATTTTGTTTTTTGACTAAATGTTGTCTATTTATGTTACAAATGTACATAATAACTATTTATAATATTGATTAATCCTATGCTTTATTTATTTAAAAAAATTCTACTATAGTAAAATGTTATTTGTTTTTCAAACTATTATTTTGTGTATAAATGGTAGTTAATATTCAAATATACCATATAAATATGATGATAGCTATTATAGACTTATTTTCAAATTAATTGTTAATATTCTTGCTATTTTGTTTTTCAGATTCATAATATATTTAAAATAGAAAAATGGCAAAAACCAGAAAATCCATCAACACTAAGCTTAGTGAATATCTAGGAGGTCCAAGAAAGTTTCTTCAAACTGAATTTCCAACATTACGTGATTGTTTGCAGCAATGTCTTGATCTGCAAAGAGAGATTTTTTCTAATGTTGCCCATGAAATTGCAGAACAATGGTTTATTTCAAACACAGAGTTTAAAGAGCCTATAGTTTGTGGTACTAAAGCTATAGAACTGAGACTCAGTAGAGGTTGGTCTGCAAAGGCTAATAAAGAATCCTGGGAATCTAAACTTGATAAACTTTTAGACATTGGTTTTCGCAAATGCAAAATTGTTTACTGCAATGAGAATGATGCCCCTTGCAAAGAATCTTGTGAAAATCATGCTTATTGTCTATGCAAATGTGACTTAAATTTAAGAATTCCACAAAAAGAGCTTGTTTGGATTAAAACCCAGTGAGAAAAACAAGATAGTGTTTCATCTATGCAAGAGTTTTGCCTAGATGTTAAAGGAACTGAAAAGCTTAGGTTCAAAAACTTATGTAAGTCAATTGATCAAGCAAGGCTTAATCGACAACAAGAAGAGTCAGAGTTGTCAAGAACATTTGATCATCTACTATTAGATTTGATGCTAAAAATATGAGTGTTGCTGCAGAAATGAATAATAATTCTAATGTTGATATAGTCAGTGATAGCGATAAAGTCAGTGATAGTGAAGAAGACTCAACATTAGAAAAACAACAAAATTATCTTAAACGAAATTACCTTGATATTAGTAATGCTGCCATTGCCTCTGTCAGATTTGGCGTGCCATCGACTGCTACTGCTGCTATCATTAATGGTCTTCTGAAAAATATCATGAAGGCAGGAAAACTTGTTGAAGATAAAAATAATCTCATTTGTGATAGCATGAAAGTTTTTCGTGCCAAAGAACGTGCTATGAAGTGTTCTAGAGTAGAAGAAAATATAGACTGTGAAAGAAATATAATCACTGGAATTTTTGTTGATGGTAGAAAAGATAAAACTTTAATCCTTATGCACGATAAGACCACAGAAAAAAAATTATTCAAGAATACCATTCAACTATGACAGAGAAGCCTAGAGGTCACTATCTTACTCATTATACACCAGAGCCTAAATCTGAATTATGTAAACCAGCCAAACAATGTGCTATTGGATTATTCAACTGGTTAATGGAAAGAGGTAAAGATCTTAATCTCCAACTAATTGGTAGTGACACTACAAATGAAATGTCTGGGTGGAAAGGTGGAATGCTTCATTTTGTGGAGGAACTTATCAATCGAAAACTGTTTAGATCATTTTGCTGGCTTCACATTAATGAGCTTCCATTCCGTCATATTGTGGAAAAACTTGATGGGCCAACTTCTTCAGGAAAAGGATGGTGTGGAGCAAATGGTAAACTGTTTACTAAAGTTGATAATCTTAAAAGAATTACTAAATTTATGCCAATTCTTCTTTTGGAGCCTTTAGTTAATATCAGTTAAGCAAATGAGCACTGACAGTTTAGTTGCATGGAAGTATTTAGATGCAATATTAAAAGGAAACCTTGATCCTGAAGTAGCAGCTCTTAAATGTGGTAGATTGTCTCACAGTCGATGGCTTACTTGTAGCATAAGATGCTTGCTTTTATATATGAGCAAACATGATCTAAAACCTGAGAATGCAGAGGTCTTAAAGCTCCTTGCAACTTGGGTAACACAGGTTTATCTTCCAATGTTTTTTAAAATTAAAGTAAATCATGGCATTTAATATGGTTCTGGTCATCTTTTAAAGCTATTTCGGCTTTGGCAGAAGCAAGATGAAAGGGTTAAAGAAGCCTCTAAACCTTATCTAAAAAGTGAATCCTGGTGGGCTCATCGTGAAAACTTACTTGTTGCACTTCTCTGTTCTGATAACTCGGAACAAAGCTCATTTGCAGTCGACATTATATTTGAAGTCAGGGCCGGAAGTGAACATGGCCTTACGGATGTGAGACCTTTTAAAGTTATACAAACAGTAAACCTTGATGCTTTGGAAATCAAAGAACTTATTGATTGGAAAAAAGAAATCATTACTGAACCAGTTTTCACAGCAAATTTGCCATTAGCCTAACTCAATGCATTGAGAGTTTCTCCCCTAGAGCTTCTTTTATATACGTTGCATACCCAAAGTTGTGAGAGCGCAGTCAAATTAGTTACCAAGGCAGCTGAGTCTGTCTGTGTTTGGGACAAAAGAGGTGGTTTTGTACAAACTCAATTGCGAAATCGAGAAAAAATGCCAGTAATGAAATCAAAAAAAGACTTTGTTTAAGTGACCAATGGTAAAAAAAACTGTATTGTAAATTGTTCAAAACTTTTTCTCTCTAGTTTTCATACAGAATGGTTATATATATATATATATGTAGTTAGTAACAGTTTTTTATTATTAATTTGATATTATTTGGTTAATATTACTGCATTTGTTACTTCGTTGCTATATTTTCAAGCTTGTTAAAATTTATAAGTTTTTTTTAATAATTTTTTAAAATTGTTTTTGCAATTATGGCAATCTCACTATTTAAATAAAGTTTTGTGTGTTTTTTTAGATGGGGGGGGGGGGGATGTAAACAATTCCAGTCTCTTCGCTAAACTTTAGAAAACTTTTGAATGCATAATATGTTTTTAAAAAAAGTTTTTTTGTTTATGTTTACATAAACAATAATCGAAATTTATCTTGATAATTATAATAAAATTATAAAATGTTGACAGGGGGGCAGCTAGGATCCCTAACTGTTTTTATACATGCCTAGCAGAGTAATCTTGGGGGAATGGGGGTCAATGATAATTTAATATGTTATATTACTTGTAGTTAATTTTTACTTTGTAAAATTTTACTTTGTAATAATATTAGTCTAAAACATTTTAAAAATTGAACCCTAATTTAATATAATTAATTTAAAATAAAACCGTAATTTTAAAACCTGTTTCCCGGTAGCTAAACATTAATATTTAAAAAAATATCATTAAAATTGAATTCCCCATACCCAAATACATAGGAATCCAAGCGTGCTAGTCAAAATTTTGAAAATTTAAATTTTCACTGAAGTATGATATACCCTATTGAGTATAGTATATATTGTTGTAATAACTTATCATATAACTGTTAAACATAATAAAAAAATTTAAATATAACGGTTAAACATAATAAAAAAGCTGCAACATATCAAAGTTAGTGTAACAAAAATGAACATGGAAACTACTTTTTAAATTATTTCCAACGTTATTGTAAAACATCTATTTAGGTTTGATTTAAAAGAAACTTTTGTGAAGATCAAGTAATCAAGTGAAGATCAAATCTTCTCTAAATCTTATCTAGTAACTAGTATTATCTTATAACTAACAATCAGATTTTCAAGTATAAAAGCTAACTAACAAAAAGTTAAAAGCTAACAAGCAAAATAAGCTAACTAACAATAGAACCAAAAGTTCAATTATTAAAGGTTACAAACAATTGAATCAAAACTTTTTCAAGCAAAACGTTTTTTTATTAAACTTGGTTTTATTTTTATGATGCTTTGATGTAATGTTAAAAATATGAAAATTTAATGTTTAAAACTGTTTAATCAAAAATAATTTATATTCCTTTTAAACGGTGTATGCTTTACACCAGGCTTGGTCGGGAAGCGGGCGCGATCGCACTCGATAATTGACCACGGAAATATTATTTAGTTGCGAAAAACCAGCCAGATTTTTTAGTCGTTTTGAGAACATTTCAAAAACAAACAAAAAAGCGCAATAAGATTAACTGGACGGACGAGAGACAGTTAAAAAAAGAAAAATAGCTTTTTAAACAATGTATGCTTTATACGTGTTACATACCTACAGTACTAATTTCAATACAATCTCTACCAGGTCTTGATGATTCAAATATACACACTTTGTTGTTAAACCCAGAATATATTTTGGTACCATCTTTATTAAAAGACACACTTAAAGCACTGATTAGTTCATCCTAAACATAAATTGTATTTAAAAAAAAATTAATCATTTCTTTTCAGAAATTCTTCCTCCACCTATATATTGTATTACCCTATATATAATACCTCTCTGTATAATACAATTCTGCTCACTCTGTATTATAAAACATTTCCCTTCTTAAACAGTAAAATGTATATGAATCTCACCATTTGATCAAAAGCACGATAGGAACATCTAACTTCACCAGTAACAGCATCCCATAAATGAACAGGATGATCACGACTACTGCCTAAAAATCTAAGCACATAATATAATAAAATATAAAATATAAATATTGAAAATTCTATTATATTAAAATTTAACATATTTTGTAATCTAAAATATGTTGTAATGCTTATTAAAATGTACGCACAAACAAGAATGTGGATTAGCAAAATTCATAAAGGGATACCAACATGTAGAATACACTGTTTCACCTCCAACTATACAAACAATAGGTTTCTAAAAGGAAAAATCTTTGTGACAAAGAATATTAATAAATGAATAACAATGAATTGCTTAAAGCAAAAACCTTAATGGCAAATAAAATGTATGAGCAAAGTATATAAAAAATATCGTTATCATATTGTTATATGTATGAGCAAAGTATATAATGTATGAGCAAAGTATATAAAAAATATCGTTATCATATATGTTACCATATCGTTATCATATTACAAATTTATAAAACTATATAAGCTGAATCTTTTTATTTCATTTTTTAAGAACACACAAAGAACAGTAGTTAAACCAGTGATTCTAAAACTTTTTATTTTATCTTTTAAGAAGACATAAAAAACATTTGTTCAAATTGTTATATAAGGTTTCAAAAATGAATTTATTTAAAGTTGATAAAAAGTTTATAAAATCACAAATAAAGCCTAAAATTAGGTAAGAAAAATTCATTTGATTCTTTTAGATTTAAAAGCATCATATTTATATTTCCTTTTATCATTGTTGATAATTGTTTTCTTGTCGCTGAATTGTTTATAAATATGCTATTAAAGTTGATAAAAAGTTTATAAAATCACAAATAAAGCCTAAAATTAGCTAGTAAAAATTCATTTAGTTCTTTTAGATTTAAAAGCATCATATTTATATTTCCTTTTATCATTGTTGATGATTGTTTTCATGTCGTTGAATTATATTTTTATAAATATGCTATTAATAAATGATATAAGATTATCAAAATGTTGACGGCAAATGAAATTCTTTCCTCTTTTTTTTTTAAATTTTGCTGCAACATCTGAAAGCCTTTTTTGAAGTTAAGGCTTTTAATGTATTTAAAAATAAATTTTCTTGTTTAGCAAAGCTATGTGACTTTTTAATGTATTTAAAAATAAATTTTCTTGTTTAGCAAAGCTATGTGACTTTTTAATGTATTTAAAAATAAATTTTCTTGTTTAGCAAAGCTATGTGACTTTTTAATGTGTTTAAAAATAAATTTTCTTGTTTAGCAAAGCTATGTGACTTTTTAATGTATTTAAAAATAAATTTTCTTGTTTAGCAAAGCTATGTGACTTTTTAATGTATTTAAAAATAAATTTTCTTGTTTAGCAAAGCAATGTGACTTTTTAATGTATTTAAAAATAAATTTTCTTGTTTAGCAAAGCTATGTGACTTTTTAATGTATTTAAAAATAAATTTTCTTGTTTAGCAAAGCTATGTGACTTTATATTAAAAAATTATCTTTTTGCAATTATTCATAATGCCTTATGTTCAGCATAAATGTTTTTTTTTAGATTTTTTATAAAAAATACAAAAATATAGATTACCGCTGTTATCAACTAAATCTATCTTTTGATAATTATTTTCAATATTTTTGGTATAAAATAACTTGATTTCATTCTGGTTCCTAGTAACTATTACTAGTTTTTTTCTAGTAGATTAGATAGATTACTTATTAGTAGATTAGATAGATTACTTATTAGTAGATTAGATAGATTACTTATTAGTAGATTAGATAGATTACTTATTAGTAGATTAGATAGATTACTTATTAGTAGATTAGATAGATTACTTATTAGTAGATTAGATAGATTACTTATTAGTAGATTAGATAGATTACTTATTAGTAGATTAGATAGATTACTTATTAGTAGATTAGATAGATTACTTATTAGTAGATTAGATAGATTACTTATTAGTAAATTAGATAGATTACTTATTAGTAGATTAGATAGATTACTTATTAGTAGATTAGATAGATTACTTATTAGTAGATTAGATAGATTACTTATTAGTAGATTAGATAGATTACTTATTAGTAGATTAGATAGATTACTTATTAGTAGATTAGATAGATTACTTATTAGTAGATTAGATAGATTACTTATTAGTAGATTAGATAGATTACTTATTAGTAGATTAGATAGATTACTTATTAGTAGATTAGATAGATTACTTATTAGTAGATTAGATAGATTACTTATTAGTAGATTAGATAGATTACTTATTAGTAGATTAGATAGATTACTTATTAGTAGATTAGATAGATTACTTATTAGTAGATTAGATAGATTACTTATTAGTAGATTAGATAGATTACTTATTAGTAGATTAGATAGATTACTTATTAGTAGATTAGATAGATTACTTATTAGTAGATTAGATAGATTAATCTGAGTAATCTTTTTAAGAGGGTTTTGTATTTTAATTGTATTTTTGAATACAATTAAAATACATCTATTATCTATTATATTATCTAGACTGAAGATTCAGATAAACCAACAACAAATAACATAAACTTAGGGTTACTTTGAGGTTATCCACAAATCGTCACAAAATATTTGACCAATTTGTTGAGATACCGTAATGAGCCTGATCAAACATATTATCACTTGATGTGATATACTTGATAGGGTCATAACTATATCTTAACATAGTTGTCATTATCTTGTTAACCAATAATATACTTAACGAGGGTCATAATTATGACCCTCATCAAGTATATCATTAATTAACAACAGTGACAGTTAACATCAATAATAATTAATAACTATAACAGTTAACAACAATGATATTTAACAACAATTAATGTTAATGAAAATAACAGTTAACAACAATGACTTTTAATGAAAATAACTATTTATGACTATAACAATTTTTTTTTTAATGAATTCACTCCCAACATAAATAGTAGTTACTAGGCTTTATGTTAAGAGCCATTATGTTAAGAGTTAAAATAAAAAAAATAAAAAAATTTAAATAGCAAAAAAGCAGTTGACAAAAAAATTGCATTATTAGAATCAGGAAAACAACAAAACACAGGAGAAGATTCCTAAATTCTAAAAAAAAATAGATGCATAAAAGTTAAAGCTTAAAGCATAATTATTAAAGCTTAATTTAAGCACACAGTAAAATGATGTTAGATACATTAAAAGAATGTACTAAGAGCAAAGTCATGCAAGTTTTTGGGAACAAGTGATGATAGCTTGCTTGAGCAAACTATCATCACTTGTTGACCTAATAGTAATGGAACAGAGACTCAAGCAATTTTATTAGAATTAATTAGAAAATGGAACCAGAAGTAAGAAAATGGCAAAAACAATAGCTACACCATTTAATAAGAGTGTTGTGACTCATTAACACATAATATAAACAATATTGAGCATATTATTGGCAGTAAACAACTGAGTTTTGTTCCGATAAAAATTCACCAACAACTGAAAGCTGCATACTTGCAGTCACAGAAAAGAAATAATATTTTAACTGGCTGCTCATAATAAGTAATCGAGAAACAAAGTAATCATCGTATTAAGCCAATTTATAAAGGAGAACAGTATGCAAGACTTTATTAACAACCTTCGATATGTCAAAAGCAATAGTTTTCAGTTAAAATACAATTTGAGAATTTTGAGAAAGAGACTAATGGATTTTTAAAAACATAAAAATATCAAAAGAAATTTGTTGCGTTTTTTAAAAAATGTAAAACCTCTCCAAGGCTGAGAGGATCACTATGGTCAAGGAGGAAATTTTATTGTAGTTACAACCCTCTTTCAACTCTTCAACTCCGAAACATGAGTCTTAATGAACAAGGCTGCAGCACAGAGAAAAAAGTTGTGCGCAGTGTTACCAGGGACTTAACAGGGATCGAACTCAGAATATTTTGCTTATGAAGTGCACTACCACTACACCACTACCACATTTGGTATCTTATCTATTAGAGATTATCTCTATCATTTTTATTATAGACTTATTATCTATGATAGAGGTATTTATTATTCGAACATTAATTTTAAATTCAAAGATTTTAAAAATTTTAATTTTTTTATTAAATTTTTTTTGATATAAAACAACTATATAAAGAATATGTATATAAAATGGTTTGTCTCAAGCAGACCGACCATGACCTGTACTACAGGAATTGATTGCTAATTATTATTATTACTACTACTATTGTTAATATAAATACTATTATTATTGTTGTTCTTTTTTTTTTGTTACTATTATTATTGTTCATAATATTTGTATGTTGTATTATTTAAGAATTTATTTGTATTAGTACTTGAAATAATCAAACCTTATTTTAGAATATATTTAATTTGATTAGACAATCAGAATTAAAGCAATTTCAAGAGTTTTAAAAAATTAGAATCATAGATGCCATTTATTAGCAGGCAAGTAAAGCCGAGTTAAAAACTTGTTAAATGTTAAAGTAATGAAGATTCTGGAGAACAATGAAAAGATTCTGGAGATAATGAAGATTCTGGAGAAAACTTTTAAAAGAAGAGTTGAATTAAGCATAAATTGTAATAACTGTAAACATATTATAAATTTTTGATTTTACTTTTTGATTTTACTAATTGTTACATTTTATATTGTATATTATTTAACTGTCTTACAAAATAATTAAATACTCTCATTAAAAAGCTTACAACTCTCGAAGGTTGACATTTACATTTATTTTAACAAACAAAAAATGTAAACATTTATATAAAATATATAAATTAATTTATAGCACATATAGCTTTGAAAAATATTTATTAAAATATTTAAAAATATATATTGTTACGATTATTTTTACTTTTGATTAATAAATAATTAAGATAATAAATTTATAATAAATAATAATTTAAATATTTAAAGTTATAGTTTCCCCATAATAAAAAAATTAGCAGTGTTTTTATTGGTTGATTTTAAAATTAAAACACATATACCTAGACCATATATTATTTTTTTATTTATGATTTGTGCATTAACTGATGTTTAAACAACGATCATAAATTATGAACTTTTACAAATTGTAATATATAAATTATTTATAACCAATAAATCATTTATATTATTTATATATTTATAAATCAATCATTTATATATAATCAAATAATAAATTATTATAATCATAAATTATAAACTCATGACTACAAAAGTAATAAACTGTTATTTATTACTTTGTAGCCATAAATTTATTGTCTTGTAACAAAATTAAGCTAACTTGATCTTCCATAAAAACAGAGTTCATGATATTCCATAAACTGAAACTTTAAAGACTAGAAATTTTTTCATTTATCAAAATTTACAAAACCAAATAAAGTCACTATTCCAAAAAAGGTATGAACGTTGGCCAATCATGGTCGAAGGTTGCACCTTTTTTTTATCTATAGAGCTAATTCAAACTTATGTTTAAAACATGCATACAACATTTAAGCCATAAATAAACAACAATAAGCAACAACAATATTTAAGATAACAAATGAAAATCTCTTCTTATGGTTGAGCAGAATTAACAATAAAATACAATAGGCCTTAAAAACTTTACCCAAAATCCTTTACTCAAATTTTACCCAAAATCTTAAGTCAAAGATATATTATGCTATAAAATACTCAATAATGTAAGTAATTTAATATATTAAAAACTTGTTGACATTTTTATTGAAAAATCCATTTATAGTTAAAGAACGATTTTATTAAATTGATGTAAAAATGGAATAATGGTTTAAATAATGGTTTGTTAACCTTTTTTTACTCTGACAGAAATTAAAAAAAGTGTAAAAGAATCAAAAATACTTAATTGTTTAAAAAAATGTTACCATGTCTAAGTGGTTCAAATTATGCTCCAGGATGTCATCTGGAAGTTTAAACACACGAAGCAGATTATCATTACTGTTCGTTAAAATTAACTGACCATCAGGTGACCTGTCATCCAAAAAAACTTATAAAGTTTGTTCATTTAAAAAATTGACTCAATTTCATTATACAAACTTAAGATAAAAGATTACAAACTACCAAGAGGATCCCCGAAGGAAATTGTCTTGAGATGAACCAAACTCATTTTTAGAACAAGCTACTTGTGTAAGCTCCTTTTTAAAATTATAACTGATGAAACTAAAAGAAAAAAAAATGTTTTTCATAAATTTACTTTGATTTCTTTATCAAAACTACATAAATTAACATAAATTAAAAAAATTTTAACTTTCCAAATATAAATATTTCTATTAATATTTAAAGTTACAAAAAAACAATTAAAGAAAATTTTTTTTTACTTTTCATATGAAGATTTGTAAGTAAACGTGCTTGCTGTATCAACTAATATACTGCTTTCAGGTTTAGATTCCAAAAAAGCAATATCAACAATATTTTTGATGTACTCTTCATTGATTGGTTCATTTTTTTGAGTAAACTCTTTGGTCTTTAGTTCATTTTGCAAACAAATTTTATTTATAACCTCATTTTTGTAAAGACATTCTTTAGCTATTGGTTCATTATATTGTGAATATTCATCAATTAATTCATTTTTGCATTCTTTATTTGTTAGTTTATTTATTTCAATTTTTGATATATCTTCTGCACTTTCTATTGATTTTATAGATTCAAATTCATTAAGAAAAATGGCGGTGTTTCTTAGTAGAACTTGTTGATATTTTTTTTTCCCTGTTGTTGTTTTAATTTTTTTAAATTTTTTATTATTATTATTTGTTAAAATAAACCTAGATTTTGTAACAATTTGATCATAATTGATTGAATCAGAGCTTAATATATCTAAATTAATATTAGTTGAGAGTTGGCAACTAGACTTTACAATATTTTGCTCAACAACCATAGGAGTAGATTGCTCATCATTTGAGTGAGAAGATTTATTAATATTTTGTAATGAATAATTGAAAAGAGTACTTTTATTATCAACATTCAATGGACCATTTAAGCTCGTCATTTTATCTTCTGAAAATTCTACCATGTTATCTTCATAATGTTGATATTTATTATTTGAAACTTGATCTTTAAGAGAATGACCCTGATATTTTTTATTTAAACAGTTTGTTGTGATATCGATAACATCAGGTAACATATCAATTTTAGTGACATCTCCCGAATTTAATTGGCTGCCACAGTAAGATGTTGATATGTCCACTACAGTTTTTATTCTATCATTATTACTGTTAAAATTTTTGTTATTATTTAAAATGCTTTCTTGATTTGTTTTGTAGTCATAACTTGAGTTATCTATATTCTGAGATTTCTGAAAAAATGTTTCAATATTGTTTATTTGACATTTATTAGAACTTTTACTTAAAGTATTATGATCATTTGTGAAATTTAAAGATAGAACAAAATCTAGATTAGAGTTGCTAAGTAAATGTTTGGTTGAGTTACTATTTACATTTTCAGGGAAAGTTTCTAAAAGCTCATTTGAAATATTCAGAGTATTGTTTTGAAAAGAAAGATGTGAAGGTGATTTGCAAGTGTCAGGATTTTCATTGAAATTTTCTTTAATACCAAAGTATTCCAGGCTAGTTTTTTTATCTCCGATTGTACTACATAACACTAATGCATCATTTACAATAGCTTCAATGGGACTTAATACAATAGGTTCTGCTTTATTGCATTTTGTTTCAATAAACGTTTTTGTGAGACATTCTTTTGATGATTCAGGAATGATTCGTTTGGATGTATTTTGAATAATAATTTGCCCATCAACATTGGGGACATCAAGTTGATTAGTATTCCCATCACATAGCATTCCACAGCCTAAAACAGACTCAGGCAATTTAGAAGATTTGAAATCAGAAATTCCAGTGTAGTTTTCTAAGCCATCTAACTTACCACGAATTAAATTTGATACATCAAGATTTATTTCACAATTAAACTTTTGTTTTTCAAACAGAATTTCCTGTTGAGCTTCAAAGACATTACTTTTTTTAAATGAGGTCTTTTGTGAAAAGCTTTTTAAATGATCTGCATCATCATTGTTTTTTAAAGAACTTAAATTCTCTGAATCTTCTTCGGATAATAATTCAATACAATCTGAATCGTCTGACAACACAACAATCTCAGAATTAAAATTCTTTGATGTTAAAGTCTCACTTTTATTAGTAAATAAGCTTTTAGCAGTGTTACAAGATGTGCTGCTTGTGGAAGATTCAATTTTAATAAAATCAGATATATTGCCAGTTTGCTTTAAAATATCAGTTTTTGGTTGAATTGAAATGTTTAATTCATTTAGATTTTTATTGTGCATCAAAGTTTGCTTTCTTTTCATCCTTGATTGAATTGGTAAATTATGATTAAAAAAAATCTCTTGTGTAATGCCATCTGGACAGTGTATAATTTCTCCAGTGGATTCATCAATTAAAGAAACAGAATTGTAAACTGAAAACTGATTAGTATTGTCAGAAATACTGTCATCAAAAACTTCTTGAACAGGAATCATTGATACATTATTAATACCAGGACTACTTGGTGTTAGCAGTTGATTTGTAAAACACATGCTATGTTGAAACTGCTTTTTACCTAGAATTGCAGATTTCATTTTTACATTTGATTTTTAATTATTTCTAGTTACTAAAGTAATTTATAAAAAAACAAAGTTAATTTCACAATCCTTGAAAAATTAATTTCACAAGTTTTCTTTTCCTTTTGAAAATTAGTAAATAGTCATAATATCTTAATATGGAACATAATACTTTATCAGTGCAAGTTTTGACCTTTTTAATAAAGATTTTTCTTATTTGGTCTTATGTTATATCCTTTTATATTTTTAACCTTGCAGTAAGCACTCTTGATCTGCTCATATCTACCTAATCAAAAAAAGGATTTAAACCTGTTTTTAATTATAATTAAAAATTATATTAGATGTTAGTTTGATGTAATCATGTCTACCTAAAAATCTAAATAAATCTTAAAACTATCCTATCTATCTAATTTGTTACAAATGTAAACTTTATGTTTTATTCTTTTTATAAAAACACAAAATGTAAACCTTTTTTTTTAAATATCTTTTTTATAGAATACTGAAATAAAAATCGACTATGTCAAGTAAACAAAATATTCCAATCTTTGAAAATAATGTATTAAGCTGTCTTTTTTTTTTTTTTTTTTTTTTTTTTATACTAAATAAGAAAAAAACAAAATGTAAAGTTTTACATTGTTTATTTGTTTTGTACTTAGTGTCACTAAGTACTAGTATTTTTTTGACTGTGTTGATCTTTTATAATGTTCCATAATGTTATATAAGTTTGTAATTTTGTTTTTAACTGACTAATTTATTTAATTCAGTAATGTTAATTAGATAAAAGTGATAAAAGAAATATTGGTTTGTTTTTTTAAAAGTTTATATTTTCTATCTGATATCCCTATTCTGGAGAGTTTTTTTTAAGTTATTCAAAAATTCTGGAGAACAATCTCTTCTAACTACTGTCTATTTTCTTACTATCATAAGTAAAGTCTTTAAGTTTTTATTTAATGCTTAATCTCTCATATTAAACCTAAAAACTTACTTTCTAATCATCAATATGGATTTCAATCTTCTCGTTCTCCTCCTGATTTGTTAACAGTAAAAGCTAATAGGTTTTATTGTGCATTAGATAAAAGTGGAGAGGTTAGGACTTGACATTTTTAAAGCCTTTGATAAAGTTTGGCATGCTGGTCTTCTCCATTAGCTATCTTCCTACCGTGTATCAGGTAACATCTTCAAGATTATTGAATCTTTCTTTACTATCATAGTATAAAGGTTTTCCTTGGTGGACAGCATTCTTCTTCATTTTCTATAACTTCAGGGGTTCCTCAAGATTCTATCATCAGCCCTATACTTTTTTAAAAATATATTAACAATCTCCAAGAAATTCTCACACCTAAGGTGGCGTTGATCACTGATGATACTAACATTTATTCTTGTTTTGATAAAAAGCACCTTCTGATTGCTTAGAGGGGACATTTGAGCTTGAAAAAAGGTCTCACTTCTGCCACAGCATGCTTTTTTTGGCTGGTGAACTTTAACTCAGATAAAACCTAATTTTTTCAGAGAATCGTTATTGCAATAGTCTAGATCTAGAATGGTAGTGTACTCAATGAGTCATTTACCCTTCTTCTTCTAGAAATAACTCTTACTTCAAATCTTTCTCAGAAACCATATGTCAAATTAATTGCAAAATTAGCATCTGCTAAAGTTGCATCTCTTTATCGTGCTCATCACTTTCTTACTCCAGATTCTATTATTTACCTCATTTACGCATTTGTAATTGTAAACTTAGTTTGACCTACTCTTGCAACCAACCTTCAACCATTGTCACATCATTGTTATGTTGTTCCTCTTTCTCTTTTCTATAAATACTATAATGGGCACTTCTCTAAAGAGCTAGCCTCTCTTGTTCCATTTACTAAAATTCATTGTCGCGCTACTTGTCATTTAATTAAGTTTGACTTAATTAAATGACAAGTAACGTGTTAATGTTACTTGTTTTTTTTATATTTTTCTACCTTGAAATATTAGATCTTTGGAATTCGCTCCCTTCATCATGTTTTACTGATTCATATAATTTGCAATCTTTTAAGTTATCTGTTAATTGTTACCTTGCTTTATAAACTGTATCTTTTTTTCCCCAGTAACTTCCAACTCTAATAATGGCTGCTTGCAGCCTTGTTGGAAGTAAAGATATATAAAAATTCAACAATGGATACAATGAATATGCCAAACATATTAGTATTTAAAATACTATGCTTTATATTATTTTAATATATGTTTTTTATTATTTTAGTAATACTTTGCTAGAATTAACTTTATAAATAATAAAATTTTCTAAAGTAAATTTGTTTTAGTAAGTGTATTGTTAGTAAGTAAGTAACTTAAGTTACTTTGTAAGTAAGTTACTTAATGTTTCTTAAGTAAGCTGTGTCTTTTTTTTAACACACTGAATAATGAATTTACTTGGAATTTATATTCTCTTACATTCTACAATTATTATAGATTATCTTTTTTGTACAATTGTTTTCTAATTAGTTTCCTTAAATGATTGTTTTTACCCATTTTTGTGTGTGTTATTTATGTAACTTTGTGATAACTGTTCTTTGTTCAATATTTTAACTGTAGTTTTTCTATGCATTTATTGTGAACAACTAGTCTAAATTCAAAATTTTAATGAGCTGTTACTTTACATATTTAACTTTTTTTATTTTCTAATGTTTTACTTAGTTTTTATTTTTTACTTAAGTTTTTGGTCATCCTTTGACTATTAAAGTTTTTTTAACACATTTATGAATTTTATATGGTTTTTTATATGACATAATTTATTTTAAAAAGTTATTATAAACTTATTTTGTCTAATATGTAAGAGTATATATTTTGTAAACAGTTTAAAAGCAAAAAGCTTCAGCAATTTGATAAGCATCTACATTTTTGTATTTTTATATTTATATTAAGTATATAAATATAACTAAACCAAATATAAATAAAGTAAACTGTGTAAAAGTATACTTATATAAATTTTGCATTTTATTATTTTTCTAAAAGCTTCTTGTGATTTTAAATCTTGATTACTTTTAATTAAAATAACTCTTATCACCTGTTGATTAAACCTAAGGGGACTGGAAGTCTTCATGAGAGGGTCGAAAGGTTTTTGTAGCCTTAAATTTCTAAAAACATCAGGAGAAATGACTTTCTTCATCTATGTTTTTCTTCATCTATGTTCAAGATATTTATGTTATTACCATGTTTACTTAATCAGTAATTCTGCGCATCTAACATAGTAATGAAACAGTAAATTTGTTTTCTTAAAGTAGGAAGATGTTACATTCAAACTTTTTCTGTTGAAATAAATAAAGTGGGTGAGTGTATAAATATGCAAAAAAGTATGCATTTTAATCTCCCAGTTTATTGTTAGATGTTTATGATAAGAGGTTTCAAATTATGGAATATTAATCGTTAAAAGGTTTCAAAGTATGGAACGTTAATTGTTAACCCAAAACCAAGATAATTGAGTTACTTTTCTGAAAAATATTAAAGAGACCAAATAAAGAATAAATGTAGAAACGGTCGATATGGAACAGACTATGACTCGTATTATATGGGTCCATACAGTAACTAAATCTGAATGCTCTTAAAACATTTTTTTTTAAATTTAGTGTAAGGTTTTCTTAAAAAGAACTTTATCTCACAAAGTATAAACAATAAATAAAACATTTTAAATTAAAAAAAGCATTAAAAAAAATATTTTTGACAATTAGGAAGAACATAACTATTATTTTTTTGTAATTTCTCCAAAACACAAACTTTGACAGGTTTATTCACTTCTTTGAAGTATTTTCTCTTTTTATGGAATTTATTTAGTAAATTCTATAAAAAAAGTTGGATGCATTTGTTTTATTTTTTATTTTTTGTGTTTTATATAATTTGATTTTAAAACATGCAATTAAACATTTTTTAAACAATGTAAAACTTTACATTTTGTTTTTCTTATTTAGTATAAAAAAAAAAAAAAAACATTAAAAAAATACTTTACGTTATTTTTACTTATTTATGTAAATGATATGTTGTACATATAAGCTATAGATGTTGTACATATAATGCATTAGTTCCTTTTACAAAAGATTTTATTCTAAATACCATTGCTTATTGACGCAGTGTTATTACAAAAAGATTTACAAAAGATTAGTTTTACAATAGTTACGCAGTTTTACAAAAGATTTTATTCTAAATACCATTGCTTATTGACGCAGTGTTACTAACACAATGTTCTAAACCCATAGAGTCATAGTTGTTTAAAAACATGCTACTTTAGTAAATTTCATTTTATTCTTCAATAACATTTAATATTATTAAAATTTGATTAATTTATTTATTATTAAATACATTTAATATTAATTCAATTTTTTTTTATTTTTTTTTATTTTTTTAAAAAACAAGTATTTAGTTCTATGAACCATACGATGTTGCATGTGAGCAGCAAAATGAAAATTCCCTAAAATGTCAAGATTATTTTTTTTAATTTGAAACTAAAATTCTAATTAAAAAAAATTAATATAGGGATGCTATAACTGTAATTTTAAAATTAGCTATAAACTTGCTTGGTTTCGCTATCTGTCTGTTGAATTTGACTTTGAGGCCAAAAGCCATGAAGTGTTGTCCCATTGACTAGAAATAACTTCACTAAACAACTTAAAAAAGAAAGATTCTTATTTTTTATATTTCCTCTCCACACTGTTTACCATAAAATATTAATAATAATTAATAATTATTAATAATATTATGAATTTATTATTAATAATATGAAATTATAATAATATATTGTATGTAGAATTTTTTTGCAAAAATTTAAATTTATTATAAAATAAATAGATAACAAAATACATTTTTTTTTACTAATAATTTTCTTATTTTTAGGTTACATTTTCAACTTCAAAATATTGGCATAAAATTTTTTTAATTGCTGGTAACAATTTTGATGAGGAAATTATTTTTAACGATCCAATCTCTTTGTTGCATTTTTGAATTTCAACAACATCAACCAAAATAATGT